CATGAGTGGTCTCGCGCGGCGTCTTATATAGGCGCCTAAGCGAGAATTAACCACGAGAAGCGGCTCCGGCCGATGCGCTGGCCGCGTCGCGGCGACGGCGCGCACTGGCGACGGGAGGCCGGCGACCGCGAGTTGAGCGGCGCCTAGGGCTCGGCCGCCCGCCGTACCCGTTCCTTATGGACACCCAACGGCCGTCCGGAACAAGCCATGAATGGTAAAATTTCCTCCTGCGAGATTCCTTTACAGTTGCTTGTGTCTCTTCAGAACAACCTTGCAATATATTATTTCGATGAATCTCTGATTCGGCATGTCGCTGTACTCGTGTTTTGCAAGAAAACGTTTTATTGCATATACAACAAAAATATTTACTAGTATCATTGGGAACTTCCCTTATCCAAGATTTATAATTCTCGTTTTCCAGCCAACCACGAGAAAATTTAAAGCGTTTTGCATATTTATCCATGCTGCAGAACGAAAAAATGCAAAAGAAATAATGCGACGAAAAAAGATAATATTAAAAAGAAATTAAATGCAACTGTAAATACGTTTACAAGAATGCACACTTGTATGAACAAAAAAACGCCTCAATAATAGAACCTACAACTACACCTTACAATAATTTTACAACTACGAAATATAACTAAACTATACATGCACTATTAACTTACAAAATGTTACGAAGCTCCTACGACACAATAAATAAGTATATCCAAAGGATAACTGTCACTGCGTACGACATGCACAAGCAAGAAATCAGGGGCTACTGACAATGGAAAAACAATAGCTGCGGAGCTCGCGAGTCGCGACGTATTCAAGAGAGTCGCGGTATTCAGAAGATAAAAGAAGAGCGGCGAAGACGCGACTACTAACGCGTAATAAACACGCTCCCCGCAGACACGAAACAATAGCGCAGATTCGGTATGCACCGAAAAGAGTTCTTTTCAAATCGTTCTTCTAATACATTTTCCACATTATATCGCACCTAGAATATTACAATCTTTTCTTGATTTTGACACTTTCGCATAAATGCATGAGCATGTCTGATACTTTCAAGATATGATTTTATCCACATTTCTGGCAAAGAGTGGGTTTGCTCTTTCCTACGTTTTGCATTGGAAAATACTGCTTGTTTCATTTATCTGCGATGGTTTTCACACAGAATGCATTTACAATACGATTGTAAGAGGATAACGATTCATATTCGATAAGAAACGACTTCGTACTGTTGAAATTGGTCGTAACTATTTTCACATAAAGTACGCATATATTGAGAAAAATTCCTCTGTTAAAAAAGCAAAAGTGCGATTACTGTGCTAACAGAGATTGATGATTGTCATGGCAACAGATCATGGCAACAGTTAGCGTTACAAATCATTTGTTATTTTAACAGACATACATTGCTAGCGTCAAAAATCATTTGTCCTCGTTACAAAAGTGTTTATTAAATCAACAAGTGAAAATTTGTTCCCACAACAGAATCACTTGTTGTTCCATAGTAACAAATCATTTGTTGCGAATGACGGTTTCTAAACATTGATGAAACCTTTTCTCTCAGTGTATAATAATGAGAAACGCATGTGTTTGTTCGCGAAAATTAGGGCAATCGTCATGTATATAAATTAATATGTCTGTTTCTACATGTCGTAAAAAACTCGTATACCAGTGCATTTTAAGTATAAAGAGACGAATAGTTTTGTAACGATAGTTAACGTTGCAAGAAATTTCAATTGTTTCGAGCGACTGCTTGATAATTTGTTTCATTATATAGAACCGATGGGCTCTATTTTATTATATTATTCTACATCTATTTTATACATCATTAACGAGACTAGGCATGCTCGCGTCACTGATTGACAGGTAGAGCGGCATATCCATTCATTCGGAAATCTTATGGAGGAAGAATATAAAGTAAAGGAATGGTATACTGTATAATGTCGAATAAACATCGTATTGTTAATCAATTTTGCAAGCAATATATATTTCGGACGAATACACATGTACGTTTATCTTTATTCTTTTCTTATATTTTATATTAAGATAGTTGCGATTGATGGAAAACATATGGGATCATTACATAGGTTTAAAATGAGGTTTAAAATGAAATCATTTATTAATAAATTATTTTTTCCATATATATATATATATATATATATATATATATATATATATATATATATATATATATATATATAT